ATTTGGGACAAAAAATGAGAGAGAGTGAGAGAGAGCACGGGAGAGTGAGAGAGAGAGAGTGAGGGGGAGAGACGCACGGGAAAGGAAGAGAAAAAGAAAAGAAAAGAAAAGGAAAAGGAAAAAGGAAAGAAAAGGAAAAAGGAAAGGGAAAGGGCATGTGTACAATATTTAAAAAAAACAGTCCAGAAATGCGCCCATACACACTTCTGGGTTAAAATAAATTACTGAGAATAATTTAAATACCTTGGAACTATTTAAACTCACACGTGTCAGAAACATTTATTAATTAAACTCAATTAATACTCCAAATTAGGCACACTAATAATCTCAATTACCTTAATTAATCTTAATTAATTCTTCAGGGTGTTACAGTATCTAACTTTCTCACGATTTTGGTAAATTTTTCTGGATCTTTGGCTTGGTTATCCCTATCTTTTTCTCGGTTTCCCTCATGTTCTCACTCTTGTTGTCGGTTTCTCTCCTACTGTGTGGGGAAGAAACTTGCTGAAGTTGGTTTAACTTTCTCTCCTCTGATGTGTCGTTTCACTTCTATTTGGAAGGGACGCTTATGTCAGCATTTGCAAGGGATTTGATGTTTACTTTTACATATTTCATGATCAAACCCATTAGATAAAATTAGCCCCTCTTCACGCGATTTAATCCCAAGGAGCCATCGACTGGACTATAGCAGACATAAAAGGCATAAGTCCCTCATTTTGTATGCACAAGATTCTTTTGGAAGATGATAAAAATGGGTCTATAGAGGGACAAAGAAGGATGAACCCGATCATGAAGGAGGTGGTCAAGAAGGAGATAATAAAGTGGTTAGATGCGGGGATCATCTATCCAATCTCGGATAGTGCATGGGTGAACCCGGTTCAATGTGTCCCTAAGAAAGGGGGAATCACTGTTGTTGAAAATGAGAAGAATGAATTAATCCCCACAAGAACAGTAACAGGTTGGCGGATATGCATGGATTACAGGCCACTAGAAAAGATCATTTCCCGCTTCCC